ATTACCCTAATGGACATCTCCTCATAGACTTTGAGTTGGAAATGCCGTCCTCCTATTTGGCCAAGGTCCAATGACCACTGTAATCGTCTACCGCTATCTACATAGCACTTGCTGTGGTTCCGAATTAATTACCATTTTCTTCATGCACAACATCGTGCTGTACAATTTCGGCATTAACCACTTGGCCGGCGATTTGTTATTGAAAGAGTGCGGAGAACGCAGTCTTTAGATAGCTCTCTGCCCATTCAATCGGCTGAAGCATCAAATGCATGTTTAACCTCAAACAAATAAAACCAACCCAAGATGCCAGATCTGAATACGTGAATAAGAGGGTGGTGAGGTGGCGCAGCGTCTAGTCAATAATCATTCCTTAAACTCGACGTGAACATTCGTTGGCTGTTGCCACATCCACTGTCCTAATACTATCCCAGTTCACCCCAGTGGCACTAACATCTCAGTGAAATCAGCTGGTAGCATTGGAAACCATTCCCAGGAAACAAAGTGCATCAATGCAAACAATCAACTGCTATTCCGATTGCGTGAAAAGTCCCCAAATGACAGTTAACGAAGAGAATGTGATGTAAATTAAAGAGTCGTGGCAAGAAGAGTGGACAATTTCGTGAGAGCAGCTGAGAAGGCGATTCGTTTGCTGCACCAATGGTTCCAGCTGCCCTCGGTGTTGTCACTTGACGCAGCCTTCACTTCAGTCTTCTTCAGGAAAACTGACCCTGTTCTGTTGAGTGCTTCGAACGAAACAACCTCACGTCCTGCCAACTCCACGTCCAGATCACCAGCGCTGATGTACGGACCGAAGAAACCAAAGGCTTTTGCAGTCACGAGGCTGCACTCACATTCCAGCTTTATGTTGAGTGTGGTGTTCCATGAGGCTAAACGTCTGCCATAATCAAGGGAGTACATGAGTCCTGGCATTGCATTCACATTGTCTGATGTATGGGGCTTGAAGAAGTAGAGAGGGCTGCCGTAATGGCAAATCGACTGATTCAAGCGCTGTTCTAGCTCGTCAGCAGTAAT